TTATAGCATACTTAGCAAATCGCACAAAAGTGAAGATTAAGGGGGTAGTCGTCTTCATGTATAAGCATAGCAAAGGGAATTAAGGTATTTGAGCATAGTCAATGTTGTGTGCAGATCTCATCTATGGGGTATTACTTTGCTGGCGAAGGATGGTCACGTGACTAACCCTAGGTCAAAACCCTAGCCACAAGCTTCGAAGTAACCCTACGACAAGTCTAACCCTAAGCCAAATCTGAACCCTAACCCTAAGACAAAAGTACTAACCCTAATCATACGTTAGCCCTAACCGACATTTTAACAAATCGTGCGAAAAAACCCTGATCACGTGACCCTCATTTTTGTATTTAACCCCTAGACGACCGGCGTTTATTTGTTGATTTTTGAGCTTTTTCGACCCTAACATCTTGATAAAATAATTGACTTCCATATAAGGTGCTGTCAATAAAACTATTTGGGATTCGAATTCTCTAGGGAGCGCTAATTTATGCAGGGTTTTGTAAATTTAGGTCAGACCGTTTGTTTATCGAGCGGTTGCGCCTAAATTTACCTAAAAACCCGTTTATAAGTGTTTTTTTGAGCTTTTTGCTGCCACAGGAGCCCCTAGGCTTGCATCATTAAGCTTGACTAGTCGGCAGAGACAATCTTCTGGAAGAAATCAGAGGTGGAAAGCGATTTTTCGAAGACAATGGCTCCAAGTCACGCTTTGTTTTGAACTAGAGACATCATTGTAAGATCGCTTTCCTGGTCCATCTGTGGCAGATTTTCCAACCTACCAAGGTAATTTTGGCAATATTTGACAACCAAAGAATGCAATTGGCCCGATATTTTGCCTGTAGGTGCGGAAGAGCTCACACTTATAAAATAATTCTTAAATAAAGAATGCTGGAAGATTTATGTCCAAATTTTGTCTCTTCCCGTGATGCATTTCGGTCGTTGACAGGAGTTTGTTGTACCGGGTGTTTAAAAGAGGGCTGTTGAGAGGTCTGCAGCGACTTTGAAAGAATAAAAATGGCAAAACGAGGACGTGCTATAAAAGGGGTCTGCAAGTGAAGTGGACTTTTTGCTAGAAAAACATGTTTTGACGCTCGAAATTGAGATGGAATTTAGTGTTGCCTGTAGTCCTCCAAACGCAAATTTTGGCATCCACTTCAAAGCAGAGTACTGTTTTGTGCCTTTTTTTACCTCGTTTGAGAACTCTTTAAACTTTAAGAACGACACGGTTTACTAGTGAGTTCGTACGAGCAATTTCAGGGCAATAGCTTCCTATTTCGGTAACTTATCAAGTTTAGACGCATCGATCGGTTTTCCACACACATATGCGTGGTTGGTCCCCTAGGGGTTAATTAGGAAAATAGCTAATTCTCTTGTTAATTTTTTAATTTATTTGTTTGAAAAAACATGTACGAGAATTTAATTTTTCAGTAAAAAGAGAAAAAGGCCCCTCCCATAAATCCGCCGCCACTGAACACGTCGTACTAAGAACGGCAATTATGCAGTTGCTACATCTATGATGTCTTTTTACTTCTTTTCTTTTTTCTTGACTGCTTTAAGTACTACATAGAGGCTTGTCAATATCACACAATTGTTATGTCTATTGTTCTAATTTTTTTGATTGATCTATGCATAAACTTAAAAGTAAAAAAATCCTTCACCACCAGACTTGAACTCGAAATAAATAAATKCCATTCTATATTATTATAGCTTCAACCTATGCTCTTATAGCTATAATAATAATATATAGTTATAATGTTAATGTCATATCGACGCATAGGGGTTTGGAACGCGGATCAAGATATCCTCTTTCAGAAGCTGATTTAAGTAACTATCAGAATATATAGCTGTTTCAAAAAAGGTTGTCGAATAAAATGGCGAATGTCAGTGGTCGAACGGCGATTGAACGGCCGAAAGTAGCCATGGGTTTTGCTAGTTGAAAGGGAATAACAACTGATTTGTACTATAAGATGGTCTGTGGTAAACATTGGTTCCATTTAGTCTCCATTTCTATGTAAGGTGAATCCAATAAGTGAAATTTTGTTTATCAAAACAGTGCAACCATAGTCCCTTTCGGTCGTGCAATCTCCCTTCGCCAATCGCCGTTCTCCCCGACAACGTTTTTTGAAATAGCTATATATCGTTATGGCCTCTTTTAGTTACAAATTTACAACAGGGTTCGTCAGCTCAAAACTACGTTAAACTGAAAAAAAGCTATTTAAAAAACAGTAAAAGTTCAAAATTCATCCGGAAATCCGCTCTCTATAGTTAAGATCTGACTTTACAGGGGCCGCGGAGACGGGGGGGCTGGGGGGCCCGCGGCCCCCCACTTTTTGCTTCTGAAAAATTGATAATAAATGAAATTGGTAAGATTGAAATAAAAAAATACAAAAAATCGATGATCAGAGCTCGACTATACTGTGACGGCATCAAGTTGGGTAAGTTAAAGAGTCAACTTCGCATGCCTCCGGACCCCCCTATAAAAATCGCACACACACATATTTGACCGCTCCGCGGTCACTGGAGTATGTATGCGAAAGTCAGTCATTTATCCCAAAATTATYACTAGTGACCACTATAAATTAATTGGGCGAGTTTGGCAGTGCTTTCGTTCCATTGCGCTTCCGTGACTTCGAAGCACAAATATCTGGAATAACAATTTTTATCTCATCTGCTCATTTCCTCGGCGAACATGCGGCATTAAGTAATACCATGGCACTCGGGAAACTAGTGATAATTTATATTTCCTCGAATAACGAGTGAAAATATATTGATCACAAATATTCCCTCGGTATTGCTGCGTACTCTGGACTTCAATAAATGTTCTCTCGTTATTCGGGCACTTTTAATTACTAATAATTTGTCATAAGCTACGGTATGACTTATGATAAGCATAACTATGAAATCCTCATGAAGAAATAGATATGGGTTTTGTTCGTCGAAACGTGTGAATATACATCGCTTCTTATAAAAACTTGTGACAACAAAATCTCTTTCAAATTGTTAGGAAGAAATATATAGAGGATATTACATGGGCGCACGGAGATACGGATTTTATCTTCGAGTGTTGAAAAGATCTCTCACAAGTGAGCGTAGCGATTTTCAACACGAGAAGATAAAATTMGTATCTCCAAGCGACCATGTAATATTCTGTTTATCACATAATTACATTTGAAAGCAAATTATGCCGTAAAATAGCTTTTTTCTTACTTTCACTATATAGAGAAACCACGAATGTGTTATTTTCACTAGTGAAAATAACATGTTATTTTCACTAGTGAAGATATCAACTTTACGAAATGGAGAAATATAGGTATTTCATAGATAATTATATGATTTTGAAAAATAAAACTAATTCCTCAAAGGTACATTAACTTAAAATGACAAAGCATTAAGCCTCTAAACACACGCTGTTTGATTTCTTGAATTGTAAATTAAACCCGTTGTTATCAACAAGGTGAAAATCGTCAGTCAGCAAACATAGCAGCGCAGGTGAAATTTCCAACTGGAGTGGTTTTCCTTCGAAAGGGAAAAGAAAATGTTGACTACCTGTTTTTTGGCGGTAGTTTTAGTGAAAAAAAAGAAAACAGTGGYTTTAATGACTAYTACAGTCATTTTCATTTGACCGTGAAAGATGAGWAAAAKAGTTGGTTTTAATCTATTGTTATCTTTGGTTTTTAGCAATAAATACCCTTCAAATAAACGCTCCAATGAAAACTACTCCATTCTCTCACAATTGAAGAAAAGACTCTCTAGTTGAAAATTTCTGCACAATTGAAACACTTACTGTATTAGTGAAATAATTTGCTATATTTCACGTTATCAAACATTTAAAGACTGTGAAAGGGAGCTTGTAAATTGAATTGCCCAATTAGTTCACACCTTCATTTTAATGATTTTTAAGAAAATCTGTCAAACTTAGGTAATCCCGTAGTGTATAACGCCCTCATCTGAATCCCAATATTATATTTGATTGTTATCGCAGTATAGTTTATGAAATTACATTTTTAGTCCCGTTTACACTTCCGATTTTTGCAGCGCGATAATCGCCACTTTGCTATCGCGCAACTAAAATCGTACGTGTARACAGCCCTGCTATTGTTGCGGGGATGGAAAATCGCCGAGAAGTTGCAGCCAATTTTCAAGCATGTTCGAAACTCAGGCGATGGTCGCGTGACGATCGCAGCGAGAATCGCTCTGCAAAAATTGCAARTGTAAACGGGTCTTTTGAGTTTCATCTCAACATCAGTCACTTCCCATTTTCGGATTATTTAAATCTTTCTAAAATATTAAACGTCTCAAGAATAATTCCTGAACGGTTTACCGTTCCTTAATCGATCATTGCTTGAGCAGATTCAAATTTGTTTRTATTGCGAGAATATGAAGTATAACTAAACCCATTTGWGCTAATGTTACTATAGTGTCAAAGTTTTCACATATAAAACGAAAAAGTCGAGTATGTCAAAAAAATTGTAACTCATTTTTAAAACTTATCAATATCAAGTGCCAAGCACTGCTCACCATAAAATACGTTTTAGCGGCAAACATTCAGTATAACCATATAGCTTTAGGCCTTTTTCTTTTCAAATGTTGTTTTCATTTCCCGGACTTAAGAGCAATGTTTGCACTAAACCTTCAGTACATCAAATATCCACATTGTAATAGATTCATAGAATGAAATGTTGAAGAGTTTAATAGCTCTTCTTTCGAATCACAATCATTTCCCACTTTGTCATCATTATTATTTATTGTTATTAGCTCGTTCTTCATAATGTTAAGGTTTTTTTCTCTAACCTCACTTCACTTAACCTATCAATACATTCCTTTGTTTTAATATGAACAATCAAAAGGGACATGAACAATACTATAATCCACGCTGTGACAAGTAGGTAGCAAATGCAACACCATTTTGTTTGTTTAATTAGGTAGCGATACAGCGTGAACAAAGGAGGTACAAAAATCTCCACGCGTTCGCCGGAAATCTGAGTGTATAAAATTCAGCTGACATCGCACATACAGTGTATTGGATAGCGGGTAGCCATCAGAAAAACACTTTGACACCACAAAACACTGAGGTAAAGTCATTATTGTGTCTGTTATTTAAAGCAATTATTCAGTAATTTTGTCTATAGGTGTTGAAAAATTAGTACCCATGGACACTTATCATTAATTACAGAAATTCATCTAAATCATTTAATAGTCACTAAGAACTTAAAGACGCCAAAAGCGAAAAATGTTTTTAGATTTCTTGCCTTAGTTAAATTCCAATAAAAGTCATACAAGTTTTTAAAGCTTTTTATCGAATTATTGAAAAACGTCAGAATGATACAGCATATACTGAGCAAGCAAACAGCGCATTCAAATAAAAGTCACACCTATGAACTTCCTTTTACCGCACGTAGAAAGTAACTAATCTAGTTTTTATGCCATAGCTGSATCCTTTCAAAACATTTCGGACTAAGCCCAAGCCACACAGCAAATTTGAAGCTTCCCTATGGCGTCGAACTTCTGATGATACCTRCGAAGATAAAATGCTTGTCGAATAGCGTTCAATAGAGTCAATGTTGCATTTATTTTTTGAAGATATAAACTGTATGAGTTTTTTTTAWTAGAGGTCGAAAGCCACGAAGTGTTTATTATTCAGTTATTTTCCCAGATATCGAGCGGGCTTTACGATAAACTCATATTTTTTTCCTTCCCTTTTCAAGGGTAAAACAATATAGAGAAAGGCACACGAGTGAAGTTAAAGAATCCTGTAAAGCAGTGCTTTAACAGAGAACTATTCCAAGGAATGAAAACTTTTTATGAATCTGACTCTATATACTCGGCTTCCGGTATATTCAAACGAAAGAAAACGAGGTTGGGTTTAGGGTTTGGTTTAGTAATGAAAATAGAGCATAGATTTGGAACTCAATCACAATGATAGGCACGAGAGATTTCAGCTCCAATGGAATATATTGCAAAGATTCAATTGTTGTTTCGTGTTTGATTCGCTCAATAATAAAATAAAGTTTTCTATACATAGATATTTAACAAGAAAAAACTGTTCGTCTCAGCGGCAATACGTATATCATCTGAGGAAAGCAACGATCTGTGAACTTTTTTCTCGAAAAGTATGGTTTGCTAGGACCAACAACTTTTAATGTACGGKTCAAACTTTAACTCAAAGCAAAACCTGAAAATCARAAACAATAAACTATAAAATTCGAAACAATTATATCAATTGATGACGGGCCTAGTTTRAAATAATTATGTACTGTTCAAGTTGATATTTGAGCGACAACAAGATTTTACATGTCAATGGAATTTTCTGTTTCGGTTTCTCTTACCGGCTCTTATCTATAGTATTTTCCCGGCATCTCACATGGTTATATTTATCGGCTTGTCAAGAAACAAGGCCACAGAAAATTACGTTATATCAGATATTTTCTTCAGTGTGCTGGGAGTTTGCTATGAGTGGAATGCGCATATTCTTTCTCTTTTGGATGTACATCGAGCCAAAATAAGGTTTGTTCATATTAAAACGTTTTTTACATGCTTAATGATCTAAAAACATTTAGATAAAGAAACAACTGTTCCATTGTAAAATTATGTTGTGTTAACATGAAATCATGCTTGTCCACTATAGTTTCCATGGGATGTGGGAAATTATCTATCTAYCCTGTGAACGAGTATTGGTTGTTACACATTGACAATACATACCACGGTTGTTTTCTATAGTTTTCACATATTTACGTACCCAGTAGTCGGAACTCGATCACTATTTTACATGCAAATGTTCACTCCCTTCTGTCGGTGTCTTCTATCTTTTAAATCTTATTCTCTAAATACTCGCAACACTTCCAAAAAGCGACAAGTTACAATAATACAGTGTTCCTGCCATACGCACTTAAAAGAGAATCATCTTAAACTCATTTTTCTTAATTTTCCAGATCCTGACAACTAGTTGGAACTTTTTCTCACTCTAATGACGGAAGAAAATTTCGGAATTTTTATGGKCGGACGCTTTCGCAAGTCCATTTAATTAGTCAAAATGGACCATTTGAATAAAATGTGTACTCTGATTTCAGATATGGTATCTGTAAGAACCACAACGGTGATATTGCTGGTGACTACTATTTATGTAATATCCAGTCAAGTAGAATGTCATTTAACTGTTGGAAGAAGTTTTCAATCTTATTCTGACACAAAACGAACGCAACAACAGAGGCAAAATCAAGTTGGAAAAGAGTCGGGAAGCATAGGTCTTAAAACATACCTTGAAGACTATTCTCCAATTTCACGATTAATCAAAAGACAAAGAGACAGTCAACGGGACTACAATTAGAAAAAATGGTGAGTTGCAAAATCTACAGCTTAAAGTGGCATGGAGAAAAAAGGAACGGCTGCTTCTTAAGTAATCTTCCTACTTTTTCTTCGTCATTTGATTTAACTTAAATAAACAGATTTTTATAGTTCAAAGTTTATAAAAATATCTTAAAAAAAAAAGAAGGAATCTGATCAAGCCGAAATGTGGGCGGTATCGACGGCATCTAAATAGCAACCAAACCGACTTACTTGCCTTTTCTTATGTGATTTTAGACTCCCAAAATAGGCAGCCCAACAATTGCTTGTAAGACGTAATGTTTTTATTATTATTATTCTTACGTTTACAAGTTTTCATGTACGAAAGCTTTTGAGAGAAAAGAAAAAGCGCGCGTTAGTTTTTATTCGTTCGATCTTAAGAATTTCGGCTTCCCTGTGGTACTACGTCATGTTCCCGCTAATAGGCGTAAAAACTACGAAACTTCGGAAACATATCAAACTTACCGTAAGTTCAGGCTGATATACATCGGGTGACATTKGCTTAGATTAGATCTTTTGATATGTTATAAATGAAGAGGCTGAAAAAGAGCACAAATAMGGCATTTTTTAAAAGAATATATAGGTTTATCGGTCATTAGGAAAGCAAAAAGCTATTGAAAAAACGTAGTCGTGTTCGAAAAGGTCACATAGAATTGGGATTACATTTGCATATACGGTGTACACTAAGCAAGTAGAGCTAGTAAGATTAACAGCATGATAGTCTTTTRTGCTGGAGAGCTGTTTGTTATGAAATTAGGCGAATTGTTTGTCTTCCCAAGTACCCTTTCGGTCTTAGCTTCTATGATTTGACCTTTTTGGACCCGACAACGTTTCTTCAATTAGGTGTAATCTAAGCAAATGTCMCCCGATATATGGCAATAAGTTTGAAAGTCCAGCATTCTGGCTACTAAACTATGGTATATTCATGATAGATCACATTCGCATGGAATGAAGCGCAAATTGTCGAAAAGATTTCGAGAAAAATTTCTCTTCATAGTCACYTTTTTATCAAATGTGCGCTATTTAWCAAATAGATCTCATTTTTCCGTGCGTGTGTACTCTAATAGTTACACAGATGACGTCAAAATGTAGTGAGAACAAAAAAGTACGCACGAGACGCAGTCGAGTGCGTGACTGTTGTTCTCACTACATTTTGACGTCATCTGTGTATCTATTAGAGTACACACGCACGGAAAAATGAGATCTATCTGTTTTATACAACAAACAATTAGTTTTGACGTAATCCGTGAATCTATACTTTGATAACACACGAAAGCCAACCAATCAAAACGTCTTATTTTACTGAAAAGTTGTATAAAATTTGTTAGATAAACATTTATATCACTTGTTCTCGTGAACTACTTAAACAATAGATGTAGTTGAGTCGAGTGTATTATGCTGYGATAGTTGCTTGTGGATGGAAAACAAATGACTATGACTATGATGTTTTAAGGTACATGCAGTTTCCATGKGCAAGTATCACGGCATAATGCATAACGCCCGAGATGTCAACTGCTCTTTTGTTTTTTTGTTTTAATTTTTTTCAACAACAAAAGCTTCTGAAGCGGCGGGCTCTATGCACGGATAGTACCCCTCCGCGGCGGCAACCATCGTGTCGTGTCGACACTCGACCAATAATTTGTAATTGTTTATTTTATAAGAGTTGATAGTTCATCTATCTACGATCAACTTGTTGTCCATTCGACCTCCTGGTCCAATTGTTAACTTAGAGTCATGATATTACTTATGGTGAGCCGCACCAGCGAGTGTGGACATCATATGATATGCAATGCATTAATGATAAAAATGTTTCTTGTTTGCAGGAATAATCTTTTCAATAGCACTGGCACGGTCTTCTTCCAAAGGGCTAAAAAAGATAACAGCTTATTTTGAATACTTATAATCTTTCTGCGAAAATGCCAATAAATATAACAAATGTTCTATAACAACGTTCTATAATTGCGTTATTTTATCTAAAATTAAAATGCATTGCTAGCGTAGCGTGATTTGTTTACTCCCTAGATGAAWKAAAATGAGACAAAACTTAAAAAGGGATAAACGTCGCTAACTCTTGATGCTGCCACAAATCCTGCAACTTTATAACTCATGTCCTTCCACAGGCTTGGGTTTTAGAAGGCATTAATTGGCTAAGTATATATAATGCCGAGTCTAGGACAGAAATGTTTCATCACTTTCTGTTCTTTTTGTGTGTGAAATAAAATGAAATTTAAAATTTATGTCTGTTGAAGACCATCTATTCTGAACAGGTATGACAAACCTTTTTGCATTAGTTTTTCTTTCTTTTTTTCCTTCTTTATTAATAACATCCTTTATGCATAAAATTTGGTTTAATAAAGATTTTTTTCCCTTTTTTCCGTTCCCAAACTGATTGTGAGTAATCACGCTCCAAAAAAGCACTTGTTATAGCTATCTTCACTCAGGTCTTGCTACATACTACCTGCATGTTTTAAGCCTTTACAGCCTAAAGAAATATTTCGCTAAGCATTTTAGTAACAACTTCGAAAACGTGATTTCTAATTAAACTCATTTTAACGTCTGTGTAGCACCAAATTCTTACAATACTGAGAGAGGGCCACGTTTTTTGGAATGTGTGTTTGGGGAGGGTTGAAATGTTTTGGGTGACATTTATAGGGAGATCCGCAATTTTAGAAATGAACAAGATTAAGACATGATGAGAAGCAAAAGTATTTTAATATAAATCATCATTATCAAGCTGGAAACGTCATTTAAATATTACCAACGCCATTCTWAAAGTCATTCATATTGTAACTTGCTGATGAGTGCAATCATCTATTTGCGATCACGCAAAACCAGCTTGAAAAGTCTCTAGGGGTTACGCCCGAATCGAAAAAAAAATCTTACAATCTTACAAAAATCTTACAAAATTGCGCTCTCGTCGAATACGATTATAAACAATCAATTTCAACCCAAAATGTCAGTAAAAGACAAACGTTTTCCGACGCGGAGTTACTATATCAAAGACCAAGACAAAATAAGGCTCTGCACACATTATGAGACCCTTTAATTCTTAATTTTTAACTCGAAGATTGCGAAGCAATCGAAGAGTTATTGGAGGGGGACGAATCTGTCACTCACTCACTCACTCACTCACTCACTCACTCACTCACTCACTTTCCTGTAAACTTGAGCCTGCGTTACTTGTGTTCAAAACTATTTATTTATTCTCATTGTTCTCTATTA